AAGATGATGGCAGAATTAGCAAATTTGGTTGATAGATTAGAAGATTGATGATGATGAAAATAATGAAGTCTACAATGACCATGATCATGATTGTGATTATAATGAAAAGAATTTGGTTGGATTGATATTAACGGGTAGTGAAAATACTTTTTGTTCGAGTTTAAGTAAATAGATCAGTTAATTAATTAATATATAAATAAATATTATCATCATTATTTCTAATATTTAAACATGGAAAAAGATTGTATAATTACGGGAAGAAAATGAGTTTACTCATGCAAGTCACATTATTTAGATTCAATACTTTACCACTGATCTCTATGGCAGCCATGCATTAGATGGTGGAGCAGAACTAGCTACAGCTTGTGACCATAGATGTGCTTCAGATAAATGAATACATATGTTTTTCCAAAAATCAATATTAAAATCTAAAATGCTATTATTAGAGAAACATAAGATTAGATTTGTACAAGTAAAAATGGCAGTTACGTCTGGACGGGAATAGATTAATTAATATAGTTGGTAGAAATAATGCATTAAAATTATTGAGGAAAAATGAATTGTTAAATTGTAATAATAATCATTAACAAGATAAACAAGGTATTATTGATATTGGATTTGTAGATGTGGTTTCCTAAGGAAGGAGGGATCATTAAAAATCCATAGAATTTTTGATTCTTGTATTTATTTTGATAGTAAGAAATCACAAATTGAAGAAAAACAAGGTGAAGAACATCATCAAAGAAAAAGAAATAGTGTTGATGCAGTAAGTAGTCTTTTTAGTATATGAACAAGTAAATAAATCATTATTATTATAATTATTTTTTTATGTAAGAGGAATTAAATTATTAATAGCAAATCATAATTCAACAGAAATACAAAAAAAAAAATTATTAGGTATAAAAGAAATGTTGAAGCAATTTTGAAATCCAAAATTAGCTTTAATAGGATAATTCTATAACCATTTAATAATGATTCCAAATAATCATTCCATTTGAAAAACTTACAAATCAATAAAATTTATTAAGTAGCACTCTGAATTAGAGTAATATTATCACCTTTCAACAAGATTCTTCCTAAGTAATAATATTAAGTAAGTGAATATTTATTAAAGAGAGGTAATAATAATTATTCAAGTTATTATTGTTAATACTATTTGTCATAATTTACCTAGTGATTTTCTAGACTTTTTCTTGACATTTATTTCTTCAGCATCATCAAGAACCAAATTCATAAATTCATCAAATCCCTAGCAAGCAAACAAACAAATTAGTTATTAATTTTACTCATCAAATGAATTAATTATTTGATTGATTAGAGAAACTATTCACAATAATTTGTCCTTCAATTCTTAAATCTACTTGTTCATATAACCATATTTGAACTCTTGTTTTCTATTAAAATCAAACACGTTTATTATAAATTTATTTATAATATATACCATTTTTAAAATAATTTTAAATATAATTACTTACATTTTGTAAATATTTAAAAATCAAATTCTAAAGAATTTACAAAAAGATAAATAAATCATCAATATATAAAAGAATGGAATACAATCTTTTTTAAAATACTTACAATGGGCTGAACCATAATCTTTTGAACTTTTGTTGCCATATTTGTATTTATATACACTATACACTATATATATTTATGACTTGAAGATTTGTTGATAATTTTACTTTTGCGTGTAACATCCATCAATTTAACAAAAATCGCTTTTTAAATGTAATTTATTAAGGTTGTTACGACGAGTAAATTTATATTTTATGATAGGATCATAGGTTAATTTATATATTAATATTTTTTATAAAACTAAAATATAAATACGTAATAAAAAATAATAAAAATAATTCATAAAATTAATAAATCATAAAATAATGAATTCAAAATCGTTAAAATCCACACCAATTATTTTATTTTATATCGTTTCAACAACTATACTTCTTTTTACTTCGTCAAACGAAGCTGTATGTAGTAATAAAGCAGTTTATGATAATTGTAGAAATACAGGAGACTTTAAATTAGCTTCTTGTCCACCATCAGATTATACCTGTCTATGTGATGCGCTCCAACGTATTTATTTATTTATTTTTGTCTAGAGACTTCGTTTTCATAATTAAATGATGTTTCTCTTGAAAAAAAAAAATATAGAAATTCAACTTTGTTTTCAACAATGTCGAGATGATCTTGATATTCAAAACGAAGGAAAAACCTACGAGGTAATTTTATTTATTCGTTTACTTAAATTTTAATTTTTTCCTGAATCGTCATCATCATCATTATCACACTCCTTCTCTCATTCTAATTATTAACAATCGTAATAATAACTAGCCTGTAGTCCGACAGTTTTGTGAGCTAATAGCATCAGCTAGTTCAACAACAGCATCATCACCACAACCACCACCTGTAACACCTACTGTTAACCAATCATTAGCAACAACTTCTTTTGCACCATCATCGTCTGGCAGCAGCGTTCCAACAACCACAACCACCACAAAAACTACTAGTAATGCAAATAAATCATCATTATCCAATTGTGATGTCTTTAGTTTCCTTGTTAGTTGGTTACATTGTGATGATTTAAATATTAAAAAAGAAACCTTGATTATAATAATATAAGCATTTAGATTGTAATTAATATAATAATAAAAATAATTATAATAATTAATATAATACAGTGCATTTCGATTTGGTAAGCCTTAATTTTACTATTACAGATTTCGGGTTTAACGGAAACCAAATCCCACATATTAATATTAATATTATAATAATAATTATTAACCTTGATATTATGGTTTTTCATACAAAGCTCTCAATATGAAGTCCTTTGGGTAGCGGTATAATGATATGGGGATGTTTTTCAGGAAAAGGACTGGGCCCATTAATAAAAATAGAAGGCAGAATGAATAGTCAAGACCACACCCAGATATTAGAATCGTAGTTGCTCCCCCTATTTTTAATGCTCCAGTTCATGCTGTTGAAACAAGCAAAGTAAAAATTGGCCAAGCCAATCTCTTGATAGAGCATCTGTGAAATCGGTTAGAAATTCGTATTCGCAAGCGTCCAAATAGATTTAAGAAGAATGGAATCAATTACTTGGAAATATTTATATGGATTTGATGAAAAGTGTGCTGAGGAGAATAGAAGCTGTTATATCCAATAATGAGTGGCTAATAAATTATTGAGTTACATACAAACGAGCAAAATTTCAGGCATGTTTATTATGTGTGTCTAGGAAATTCCGCATACATATTCTTGAGAACTTTAGTCACGATTGATAAAAATCATTTATATTTCTATTGTGTACGTTTTTGTGAGATTAATGGTTTTGTAACTGAAACTTTTGTAATAAATTACTTGTTTCTAACCTGTAATAGTAAAATGTGTAAATGGTTTACTTGGAAAAATTTATGTAACGTGATACAAATGGCGAAATAATGATAATATTAATATTAATATTTGGATTATTTAATTAATAATTCCTAGAAAAGTATAAATAACAGAGGAAATAATGCTATTAGTTCTTGATAAAAAGCTCTTTAATCTTTAATTAGAAATTATTATAAAATATTTGATTAATAATCAAGAAGCAAATTATCCTGATTCAATGAAACTGGAACCTAGATGATAGTACCTCAACTTATCACAAGTGTTAGGTTTCTTTCATATATTTTTCTTTTAGTTTTAATTATACTCTGGTAATTAATTATACAATTTTTAAGTTCCCGAGATGATACTTTAGAAGAATGTATATATATCGAAAGACGTTCTTGACTAGGTTGAGTGAGATAAGTTAGATATTAATAGTCCGTCCGGTCTGGTCCTTTGATTAGACTGAGCGGTCTTTGGACTAAACTAGTCCGAACCGGACCATTAACACCTAGTGTGTATATTATATTCAATGAATAATTTGGTCATCAATGACAGGCAAATAAACTGTAAAATAGCTTAAGAAACATTTTGATTTGTATATATGATTAAATTACCTATCGAGATAATAAGGATAATATGATATGATCTCCTATAATTTGGAGGTTATATGACGAGTTAATAATAAAGCTCTCGCCAAGTTTTAACGAAAAGATTTGTTGCATAAATCTTAGCCAACCAAATTTTTTCAATTAAATTCTGTAACGTCGATCATTACAGTCCTCAAAGTTTTTTTTTATTAATATTTAATTTAACTAATTATCGATCTTGGCGTTTACAAATTTGTTATTTTGTTCATACATGCTAAAATTTCTATTCTTGGGAATTTTGGAACGTTTCTAGTTATTGACGTAATATTGCATGTTTATTCCACTTATTTTAAAGCTCGGCAACAATTCCGATTTTTCCAATTTTATGCATAATGATAAAAACAAAACAGTCTTTGCTTTTTTTGGGTGGGACTAAAGTTTTCTTATTCGTAATTGTTCGTTTATTCATAACGAATAAACCCTATGACTATTTGCTAGCAGAAAAAATATTTTACTATTATTATCACCACAAAGGAAAAACAATTATTTATTAATGACAATTACTTTTGCTAACTACTTTTATAATTATCACGAAGGAAGTTTTTTAATTGGATTGGATAGTGCATATACTATTATTACTATTTACAGTCAGGTATTTTACCAAATTTGGAGATCAAGTCTATAACCTTTTGTCAATCGATTAACGTTCTTTGTGAAAAAAAAAAAATAAATTCTGAATATATATTGTAAGGATTCGCGTAACTTTACATACTAGTTTTTTTTTTCTAATGTATAGAATTATTGACTTTTTTTCCATAATATTAATTTTTAAACATTAGACCAACTAATATATGCCATGTTTGTATGAAGAAAACCAGTTGATCAGTTGAATGTACAAATCTCATTATCAAGTGTTTTCCAGAATTATCATTATTATTAAGTATAAGAAACTCCAAATAAATTATATTATTTACAATGGTGGCTATTGATTTTGATTTATATTTACTTTTATTATGGAAAATTTTTTTTTAACAATAATAAGTTCACTTTCTCTATAATGTACCATATTTGGCTTAGAATCTGTTATAGTTTGTATATTAAATTCTCAGCCGTATAAGTTTGTTTGCCAATGATATATCAATATTTAATAGCGCCTTCAGAATGTTTTAAAGGAATAAAAATCATTACAAGTTGAACAAGTGATATATCACAATAATATGCTATATATTGGGCATCTTTGACATTGCTTAATCCTGGATGGGCTTGTATAAAAAAATTTTATTTTTTCAGTGTCACATAGCAAATTAGAAATTCCAAATTTGGCAAAGTACCACTGTATTATTATTATATACATTTTCGTTTTATTCGTTAAAAAATTTCACGTGATTAAATTACCGGTTAAAGAGTTTGCCAACCTCCAACTAGGTTTATTCTATATATTCTATATATTTCCAATGGTTATTATTAATAAGAAATTATGTGTCAAAAGGTTTGTAAACTGATTGTGAAAATACCAATGTCTGATTCAATCAATATTCCTGTGGTGATTATTAATAAGAATTTTGTGTAATGTTACAAGATTATAACAAAGTTGTTTCACTTTTTTAGCTCTTTTTACTTTTTGAAGTCTTGAGGATTATTATTCAATTCTGAGAAATCGTTTGGAAAATTCCGGCTGCAATACATAAAATGCGTGTAATTATATGATGTTGATGGATGACATTCCTATTTAAGTTACTTCTTTATTTAAATATCGGATATCGTGTAACCAACTATTCAAAAAAAATTATGATTAATAATAATAATATTTGTTTTGCGTGCGATTTTTTTTATTACCGGGTTCAAGTTGAGTCGAAACTTATTCTTAAGCCAAGGCTTGTTATGGAATTTTTATCTATTAATATTATTATAAAAAAAATTATCAATGATATTTTCATAATTTTGTAGTAATAGAAAGATTTTTTTCAAAATGTTGACAATTTGCTTTAAAAGTTTAAAATGAATTTGATTGGTCCAAAATAATAATTCAGTCGAAGACAAACTTGGTTATCAGTTTATGACAACATCAATCTTATCTAATCACCTCGTTTTGAATTCTTCAATGTGAGCGATATCTTTTTACGGCATATCTTTTATATGTATCTGAAGAAAACTTTCTGATTTCTTACAAAGTAACATGTTCAAGTTCTCCTGGAACAATTTTCTGCAAAACGTACAAGCCTATAGTCACAATTATCTCTTGCATTTTGCTTTTGCCTTTCCTCAAATTTTAGCACTATCATGTCCAAACTTTTTTTTTTTAAAAAACAAATAATAACAAGATTATTATCATCATTAACAACAATAAAAAGGCTTACGGATACGCCTTTATTACTTATAAAAATACTCTTTAAAACAAATGAAAAAAAATTTATCAGCAGCAGCATATAGCATATAAGACACTTGCCCCAGATACTGTCGCAAACACCCTGGATGTGGCGATGATACAATTTGTGGAAATTGTGAAGGAGGAGAAAAATGAGTTAGAGACAAGTTAGACAAGGCAGGAAAAAAGCGAGCTTGTATTTTAACATATAATTTATTATTAATCAACTAAATTCAGAAATTTTTTTTTAATTAAAATAAAAACAAATTGAGAAGCTTTTTTTTTAATAATAAAATAACAATGATATAATTATATGCGTGTATGAATGATTATTATGATTATAAAGAAATGATTGTGTAATTGGTTTAATTTCTAAAATAATTTAAATGTAAACTTTTTTAAATCTATTATTTTTTTTTTTTCCCAAAAAAAACCAATTATCATCTTCATTAAAAAATATGAATGACGATAAAGGTAAGTTTAATAATAAATGATAAAATGATAAATAAATAATAATAAATAATCAAATCAATCAATTAGTAAATTGTAAATAATAAAACCCTTAACGTTTCTAATCGAAAAAAATTTTTTTGGCAGCAAACAGGCAGAACAAATCAAAATAATAATAACAATGAACGATCACTACCAAGAAATCAATTTGTGTTATCACCAAAACAGATCCAATTATCATCATCTACGCCAAATAAACCAAGAAAACAATGATACAATGAACATCAATGTAACACCACTACCAACACAACAACAAAAATCACGGGTGGTGAACCTGGATTGTTTGAAGTTTCATCTCAAGGCGAAATTTTGCATGAAGGTATCCCTCGAAACAAAGAAGTTGAACATCATATTCTAAATCGAAGGAAATTGCTTCTGAAAAACTGAAAATGTGGAATATCTTGGAATCACTAAAGACAGGACGCCTCAATGACTCATAAGTAACGTAATAAATTATTTATCTATTATAAAAAAAAAATATTGATCGATCTATATATTAATTGATTAAAAGAATCTGCACTTGGTAAATATGTCACAGCCGTAAGGTATGCATTATGTACAGTATATTCTCGTATATATATTAATATTTGTAAATCAATCAATTGTCAGCGGTATCCCTTCACACTCAGTTCAAGCAATGATGGTTAGATCAAGTGGTCTAGTAGATGAAGAACAATTGGTTAAAGCGCTCAAGTAAATTAATTATTGTTATGATTAATAGAAAGAAGCTGAACACATGAGACGAATTCCTAGAAG